CTTCCTGGGCGAAGCATCGGGCCTGCTGACGCGCTCCCTCCTCGGCCAGCAGCTCACTGGACCGCGCCAGATACTGATCCCATATGTCTCACATGTGTGCATGAGAAGCAAGCCCCTGTAGTCTATTTTTGCAAGCAAACAACATCCTTTTCGTGCAAAGAATCTATATATTTTATCATTGCATTTGTAGCATGTTATTCCTTATAATTTTTAACTGTTATTAAAAGTGATCTTTATATCTGTAAATTGGTAGATGTTTTGAAAAATTTTACCTGTTAAATTCTAATATTATGAAAACTGACGTTTTTGTTTTAAAAAAAATTTGGCACGTATATTACTCATTGAGATTTCTACATTCTACATGGTAGTTGTTGAATTTGAATTCAAAATCCATGTATTTTTTTGTTACCGTTAACATTTTTAGCCCTTTCTCCTAACATACTTCATTTGAGTATTATTTTCCTTTTTCACCTCCACCACACCTTTCAGTCACTAATTTTCACATTTTTTTTTCCTTTGGAATCCTACAATCATTCTGTACTGGTTTAGTTTTCATGTTTCCTGACATTAAGATTACCAGGCAAATATTGTAATTTTGTGTATATATTTTTTCAGGTATAAACAGACCTTATATCATAATGAGGTACATTGTTATATTTAAATATACATTATTCAATTTTTTACCTACTTACATCAAGAGGAGTTAGTGTTGTAGACTGCTGACGAGATAGAAATACTATAGGCAGTCACACAGGGCCAGGCACTCAAGCAGACTATGTGGAGGACAATGTCACTTTCCAATGTTGAAGATACTGACACTCCCTATGGGCCAGACTTGAAGCCAAAGGAGGAAAGAAATAGAGCTACATACTTCTGGAACGATGAGCATCAGGAATTGATAATCTAAAGAGGTATCAGTCACCTTGAAAAAGCCGAAATGAGTCAGTAACTGAACCCCCAACAGGAAGAGACCCTGTCACATATTCATGCCCTCCTTCTAGTGAGTCACTTACCTATTTGGTACTGGATTTAATCAATTTTACATGAGCAATAGTGGTTCTAATCTCATTGGTTAACCATAGTTTTGTCCCACCTCATGCCCACCTAAGAGAGGTCTGTTCTCCACCACCTTAGACCCGCCTCACCGCATGCTTTTCCTCTATAAAAGTCCCTGCAGGAGACAGCTTCCTGGGAACCACCCATTCAGAGTCCCCCCCCCTTCTGTCCCTCTCTCAGATAGAAGTTTTCTTTCCCGCAGTAAATATATTCTGCTTATAACCTCTGTTCCTAAATGTCACTCTTCAGTTTTAGAGAACATGAACTCATCCCAGGTAACTTTCAGATCCAGAGTTCCATCCTTTTCCCCCTATATCTTTTGGATGTGTCATCCACTGAGACCATTTGTTCCCTATGTCAATATCCGTTAGTGTAAATTCAAGCTCCTGAAATGTCAGTGTCTCTTTCAGAAATCCACTTGTGTTCATGAGCTGGTCTGCACAGGGAGTTAGCAGACTGCGTCCATGCCTGTTGAGGGGCTGCTTCTGCCTTTCTGAGGCACCACTTTGCATTCATAGTGAGGATGCATAAGAATCAGCTGTTGTTTCCTGCAGTCTACTCTGAACCTTTCTGTAGAAGGAGTTACCCAAGATGGGAGCCTTAGGGAGACATCTTGCCTTGGGCTCATCTTGGCATGGGATCGTTAGTCTCACTTTTCCTAGAGGGCATTTCAAGACACCTGAAGACTAGTTGTAGCAATTTCACTATCAGGATCTGCAGTAAGTTTTTCTTTAATTAGTGCTCTGGAATGATCAGGGTTTCTAATACCTTTCATTTTTAATCTCTGTAGTAACATGACTGATGTCAGTTGTTGTACAAGATAAACAGACATAGGGGCCAGGGAGATGGCTCAGTGGAATAAGTGCTTCCTTTGCAAGCACAATGATCTGAGTTCAATCCCCAGTTCTGCAAAAAAAATAAAATAAAATAAAAAATAAAAAAGATAAACAGACATGGAATAATTCCTCCAATTTCAGATGCCCAAGAAATAGAAATCCAGTTTGGCACAGCTGAAGACAACCTAACTAAAGATGTAATATTCAAAGGGCATCCAGGGTGCTTCTGCTCAATCCCATTTTTTAATGGTGGTGCATAGCCAGGTAAAGGAAACAGCTTCCCATTTACTTTTATACACAGACTATTCTGATAGTTATCTTCTTGAGGATAACTTGTCTCTGCCAGGCAAATTCTCAACTGAACTTGAACTGTATAATCTCTCCTACCACCTGGCAAAAAGTCCCTTGATATGCATATCTGTCTAACTTGTTGTGGTATCAAAGCAAAAATAAAGAACTTCTCTTGAAATCGTTGAATACTGCTTTGAACTAAACTTGTGGGCTTGATGAGAACATCAAGGACATCATTAAAGGGCAGGTTTTTGAACTGCACATCAGGATGGACAGGAGAAATTGGAGGAGATAGTTGCTGCATCTCAAAATTGGGCTTAGTGTCTTGCAGTAGCACAGAACCAACAGAAGAGGATGGTGAGTGAGATGTTACTGAAGTAGCAGGCAACAAGTAGATTCCAGCGACAGCCAAATCTGGTTCTACAGGTGATGAGCTACCATCCAAACTGAAAACTGATGGTTTGATTGTAGATAAATCAGAAAGCCCTTCAAGAGTCCATGGATATCGGCGTCTATATAATTCTTGGATTTTAATCTGAATCACAGGACTGTAGCAGCTCTTCAGTAAATGCAGGGCCCTCATCAGGAGGTCATGCTTGCATCCACTTTTATTCCATCCAGCAAAACCTAGTAATACTTGTAGTTCAGAAACTCTAAAACTAGAAACCATATTCCTCAATTCTTCGAAATCTGCAATTTTAACCATTCCCTCCCCCGCGGGCACCACTGCTGCCACCGCTCCCCCTCCCACAGCCACCAGAAATGCCGCTCCCACCACGGCAGCCACTTCCAGCACTGTCCTGCACTGGGAGCCATTGAAGACGCTGTGGTTGCTGCCACCACAGCCGCCAGGCCCCAGAAAAGGTATTTTCCATGAAGTATTGATATGTTAAACTTTAAGTCCTTACAGAATATGAAGAGAAACAAACAAATATTTTTAAAAATAGGAATAAACACATATTTTTACACAGAAGTTTAGAAATCTAACCATATACAGCATTGTAGCAGGACAGTCCTATGACTTTTTTTTTCTTGTCTCTTGTTTTCATTTATTACCCTTTTTTAAAATACACAAACATTTACTAGAGAGACAGTATGGCAGTAATTGTTTTGTCATGACAAGCAGTACCTATTTAGAGGACCAGAATAACAGGCATTCCAAGCATGACCCTACTACTACACATTGCTATCTTCAGTGCAGTTGCTTAGTTCCCAGGTATCAGCATATTATGGTTTGTGTATAGGTGTCCCCCCAGAGCCTCTTCTGGAGTTTGTGATTGATTATTATGAGTGTACATGTTGCACCTTCCCTGAGGCAGGTAATTTGCATTACAATGTAAGGTGGGAAGAAAGGCTAGCTGCTTGAGCTGCTGCTACCACTCCTTTTGCACTCTTACCCTTTGCCACTGCCATAAAAGGCTGCCTTCTGCCATGTGCCAGGCTGCCTGGGAGCCAGCTGAGTATAGACTGAAACTTCCAATAACTGTGAGCTAAATAAACCTTTCCTACCTTCAATTTGGCTGTCAGGTATTTGTCCCAGCAATGAGAGAAGAGTAACTAATACAGAATTTGGTACCAGGAGTGGGGCTTTGCTGTGGCTAAACATGATCATGTGGATTACCAGCTTTTGGGAATGGCTTATGGGAAGAGACAGGAAAGGTTCAGAGATGTCACCTACAAGCAAAGTGCTAAAACAGCTTCGGCTGTTCTGTTTGAAAGATTCTGGTCAGAGCACAAAAGACAAGAAGGCTGGTAGAAAACCAGCCTGTAAAGACCAGGTTGGAAAGGTTTTTTCTGGGAAGAAGGACAGCATTGGTTGTTGGACTCTGGATCATTTCTGTTGACTTGGCAGAAAAGTTGTCTGCATTTTGCTCATGTACCGAAAATTTGCCTGAGAGTAAGTTTAAGCGTGGTGGACTGATCAATCTGGCAGAAGATATTTCAAAGCAGCCAAATATTGGGGAAGTGGCATGGCTGTTATTGGGGACTTTTAGCCAGATTTATGTTGAGAATGAAGAGCAAGGAGCCCAGCAGGATAGTTCAAAATGTTGTGAGCTTGGCCAGAAAGGAAGCACAAGAAAGTTGTGAACTGCAAAGATGGAGCTAAGAGGATCTCCATTGCTGGAAGGAACCTGAGAATGGAAAGGATGGCCTGAGGGCATCACAGGCAGCAGGTCTCCACCCTTTGCAGCTTCAGAATTGCAAAGGTTAGGGACTTTGCCTTCAGGGGAAAGCTGCAAAGCCCCACTTTCCAGAATGGCACCGGCATGAAGAAATTATTCCTCAGAATCAGGGTCAGAGTTCTCAGCCATCCAGGCACTCAATCCCTACAGCCAAGAGGGAGGAAAGCCTGGCTACTGCTCCAGCTGGCAGAAGACCTTGGTGTCATCCACGTGGTGATGGTTGTAGGCGCATTCAGAATGCAGGAGTTCTGAGTTTAAGAAGGCTTCCCCCTAGATTTCAGAAGAAGGCCTGGGAGGCCAAGTAGTGTGTCTCTGAGAGGGCAGTGTGTGAAGCTGTGAGTAAAAATCCTATTCAGTGGAAACCCCAGAAGTTTGGAAAAGCCAGGAATATGAATCATCTAAGGGAAATTGCAAGGAGGTTGCAAAGCCCACCTCAGAGGGAAGCCATGGGAGCTACCACCAAAAGTGCTGCAGGGGTGGAGCCATGTAAGGCCTTTGGAGCTCACAACTCATCACAGATTGCTTCAGATGTCCCACATGGACCTGCAGCACTTAATGTTTGGCCTGCTATATTTTGGACTTGTGTTGGTCCCAATGCTTGCTATCCTGCTGTGTGTACCTTTTGGAATGGTATGTTTGTTTTGTGCCACTGAATGTTGCAGGTGTTTAAGTTTTCATTTGTACAGGAGCTCACAGTTGAGAGTTTGCCTTGGATCTTGGAGGAATCTTGGGACTTTGACTTTTCAGCAAAGCTGAAACTGTTAGGACTTCGGAAAATCTTAGAGATGGACTATAATGTCTTTTGCATAAAGGGATGTGTGTGAGTCTTTGGAGGTCCAGAGGCAGAATGTTTTGGTTTGTATGTAGTTGTCTCCCCAAAAGTTTGTGCAGTCATAGGGGTGGCTTCTGGAGTTTTTGGTTGATTATTGTGGGTGTGGATGTTGCACCTGCCCTGGGATAGGTAATTTGCATTACAATGTAAGGTGGAAAAGAAGCTAGCAGTTTAGGCTGCTGTTACTCTAGCCCCCTTTGCACCTCTTACCCTTTGCCTTGGAAATGAAAGGTTGCCCTCTGCTTTGTGCTGCTCTGCCTCGGTCCCAGCTTAATATGGATTGAAGCCTCCAGTAACTGGAGCTAAATAAACCTCTCCTTCCTTCATTTTGGGTGTTGGGTATTTGTCCCAGCAATGAGAGAAGAGTAACTAAGACACAGCATATATAGTTAGTCTGGGTGAGAATCCTACCAATTAACTGCTAGTTTCAGAAAACTGCTGAAGATTCTCAGGATCATTGCCTTACCCATCTTATACATATAAATGTATGGCTTTGCACTTGTCATGTTTCCTAGCTTTTCTCCTTGCCCTCTCTTCATTGTCTAATCCTCAAGTTTTTGCTTTCCTTTTAATTGCATTATGTCTTTCTATTTTTATTTCTTCTTTTGAGTTCTTATACTAGTGAGACTATATGATATTTACACATGTGGGTCTGTTTTATTTCACTGATGAGTATATCTTCAAGTGGCATCCACTTAAATAAAAAGGCTTCGAGTTTATCATTCTTTATAGCTGAGTAATACTCCATTGTATAAAAATACCACATCTTTTGCATCCATTCCTCAGGTAATGGGCATCTTGGTTGTTTCCAAGATTAGGCTATCACAAATTGTGGTGCTATAAACATAGGCACACATATATCACTATGATAATGACGTTTTTAGTTCCTTCGGGAAAATTCTAAGTGGGAGGATAGCTGGTTTGAATGGAATTCCCAGTCCTAGTTTTTAAGGAGTCTCCACACTGATTTCCATAATGGTTGCACCAGTCTACATTCCCACCAGCAGTGGAGAAAGGTTCCCTTTACCCCACAGCCTCTCCAACATTTGTTCTTGGTTGATTTCTTTATGATAGCCATTCTTTCTGGAGTGAGATGCTACCTCAATGTTGTTTTAATTTATATTCCACAGATGGCTAGTGATGTGGAGCATTTTTTCATATATTTATTCGCTTCTTTAATTTCATCCTGTGAGAAGGGTGTATTCACCTCTGATGCCCATTTCTGGATTGGGTCTTTAAATTTTGGGATCCTAATGTTTTTCAGTTCTTTATAAATTCTAGAGAGCAGACCTTTGTCTGAGTGCTTATTAGTCAAGATTTTCTCCAAATTTGTGGGTTGTCTTTCCACTTTGTTGGTAATTTCTTTTGACATCCAAAAACTTCTCAATAAGAGGAGGTCTCAGTTGTTAATATTCTCAAGTATTACCTGTGAGATTTGATTTTTGTTCATGAACTCTTTGCCTAACCATATGTCTTCAAGAGTTCCTCCTACTTTCTCTTTCAGGAGATTTAGTGTTTCTGTTTTAATGTTTAGATCTTTAATCTATTTTGACTTTAGCTTAGTGCATGGTGATAGACCTGGGTGAAGTTTTAGTTTTTGGCATGTACAGAGGCAGTTTTTCCAGCACCATTTGTTAAAGAGACTATATTTCTTTCAATAACACTGAAACAATTTTTGTCATTAGAAGTATTTTAAATACTTAATGATGTATTGTAGGAAGTACACTAATAAGAATTTGTTCAAATAAATGTTTTTTAATATCTTCTAATTTTTGCTGTGGATGCCAGATAAGTATTCATTTTTTTTACTTCAAAGAGAAGAGTCAGCCAGATAGATCAGTGGATTAAAGCGCTTGCTTAGGCAAGTGCTCAATCCCCAGCCTGCTGTGCTGGCTCCACTCCCAGGGCATGCTAAGATAGTGATGGATACTGGGTGCAGTGTCACCCACCTGTAATCCTAGTACATGGGAGGCTAAGAACAGGAGACTCACCACAAGTCTGATCCGTGTAGTGAGACCCTGTAGACCCTACACTAAATAAAAAAGAGACAGAGAGAGAGAGAGAATAAAAAATTATAAAAAAACAACAGTGCATTGAGCTCCATAGAGACAGCACCCAGAAAAGTGAAAGCTGAATGGGCAATGGGTAACTTTACCATGCTGGGGAAAACAAGTAATGGACAAAGGAGATTCTAAGAAGCTGAGAGGCAAAATGTCACCTTATGTGTTCTTTGTGCTAACTTGCCAAGAGGAGCACAAAAAGAAGCTCCCAGATGCTTCCGTTAACTTCTCAGAGTTTTCTACCAAGTACTCAGAGAGGTGGAAGACCATGTCTGCTAAAGAGAAAGGAAAATTTGAAGACATGGTAAAGGTGGACAAGGCTCATTATGAAAGAGAAATGAAAACTTATATTCCTCCTAAAGGAGAAACAAAAAAGAAGGTCAAGGATCCCAATGCACCCAAGAGGCCTCCTTCAGCCTTTTTCTTGTTCTGTTCTGAGTATCACCAAAAAAAAAAAAAAAAAATCAAAGGAGAATATCCTGACCTCTCCACTGGTGGCATTGCAAAGAAACTTGGAGAACTGTGGGATAATACTGCAGTGGGTGACAAGCAGTCATAGGAGAAGGCTGCTAAGCTGAAGGAAAAGTATGAAAAGGACATCGCTGCCCACCAGGCTAAAGGAAAACCTGATGCATCAAA